CACACTAGGGCAGTTGCCGTGTACCCTGTAAAACACATGGCAACTGACATGTTCGAGAGAGTTGTCATTTGCTTACAAGCACACTAGGGCAGTTGTCGTGTACCCTGCAAAATACATGGCAATTGACATGTTCGGGTAAAAGAGAGAGTTGCCATCTGCTTACAAGCACACTAGGGCAGTTGTCGTGTACCCTGCAAAACATATGGCAACTGACAATGTTTGGGTAAAAAAAAGAGAGTTGCCATCTGCTTACAAGCACACTAGGGCAGTTTGCCATGTACACTGCAAAACACATGGCAACTGGCAGCTTGGGTGTGGGAGAGGAAACGGGCGTGTGGGCGAGATGGCAAATGCCCACACATCAGCCCTTGTGCGTGAGTGAAATCTAGCGTGTGGGCGAACTGCTAAATGCCCACATGCCGGCCCCTCCGTGTGGTAAAACGGACGTGTGGGCGACCGGGTGAATGCCCGCACACCAGCCTAGTCCTACGTGGCACCACAAACATGCCAAGATTCGTGCACCCACAAACGGACGCGGAACCACATGTGTGGGCGTTAGTGTTTCCATTGTTTTTTTCTTTTTAATTATTTTTTTCTTTTCTAATACATGTATACATTTTTTGTACACATTTTTCGTATACATCAGGAACATTTTATATGCGTTTAAATTTTTTCAATGAATAAGATTTTTTTCAAATGTATGTTTTGATGCCTATTTTTACATTTTCTTGAATAAGTGTTCAGCACTTTTCAAATACATGTTGAACATATATATTTAAATAATAGTACAAAATAATTTTTTTACCACAACGTCGTTGAACTGGCCTTGCAAGTCGTCCTCTTCTTTTTGTCTTGTAACTACTGAACTACACACCCCGCAAAAAAAAAATACTGAACTACACTTTGTCACTCCTTTTTTTTTTAATTTAGCACAGAAGACTGGTTCGGAGTAATGTCAGCTCGCGTCGCTATAGCCTCTAGGAGCGAGCTGCATGCATGATTCGTCCAAATGCACCAATCTTGAGCTCGTACTTCGTTATCACGCTGATGGGCAGTACGTCAGTGCAGAGATTGTCTGAGTAAACTCCAGAGCAGGCTGCATTTTCCTTTCTTAGATGATGCTTTCATGATGAGCAAACCGTTCTGTTTCCCCACATTGTTAATCGAGCGCCCAGGCCAAGTCAATCCAAATAGTATTTACTAAACTGTGTTACTTGTTTCTGTCTGCTATATAACTCATACACAAGTCATTTGTACCAGATGCGAAGCCTCTTAGTTTTAGCATGATTGCTTCCGAACATTGCAGGAACCGATGAATACCATGGTGATCAGCTTCAGTTGCTCGGCAAGTAGAAAAGCGACGTGGATCTTGGCTTTGTTGTTCATGATGAGTCGAGTCCATGGCCAGTCTACTAGGGGTAATACAAGCCATATCCTCTTAGTTTAACTTATCGATCGTTAACCTCTTTAATCCCTGCCAAATGACTTTAGGTTCATTGATTTATTGCGCGATGATTTTATTGAAAAAGATTGTGCTGCTCCATCTGCACATTTCAGTTTACTTCAGTGTGGAACTTAAGAAATCCTAGTTACAACAGTTTGGATGCAACTGTTGGGAGACGGTAGCATAGAATACTTACAACCAGTTTGGATGGTGGTCGAACACTAGAATAGGTCATCTTGTCCTATTTTCGCTGGTTGTGCCAATTTATTCATCTTTTTGCGAATTTATTCATCTTTTTTGCGACTTTGCTTGCGAACTTGTATGGAACTACGTACTTTGTGGCTACTTTATTTAATAATATGGCTGTCTGCATCAATTGATGCAGAGGCCGGGGGTAATTCTCCTTTAGGAAAAAAATCTGCGCATTTCGTTTACTTCAGCGTGCAACTTAAGAAATCCTACTTGACTGAAATCTTAGCAGTCCACATATTATCACCTACTGGATGCCTACTAGCCACCCAAGTCCTCGTGCAGGATTCGTAAGCGTCGTCTTAACCTCTTGAAACACATGAATTGACAAAGATTCTCCAATTGTTCAGGATTCGTAAGCGTTGATTGTGGACTGACAAACAGTAGCGCCTACAATGATGGTATCACAAATATACGGTTTGATTCTGACCGTGGATATGTCGCTGGCGGTTTGAGCCACACAATTTTGGCAGAGTACATGGTTGGTTCAGATGAGCAACAAAAAACCCTGAGGAGCTTCCCTGACGGTTCACGAAATTGCTATACACTGCCATCCACTTTTGGTAAGAAGTTCCTGTTGAGGGCCACATTTACTTACGGCAACTACGATGGGTTGAACAGGACTCTGGATGGATCGCCATTTCTATTTGGGCTCCATATTGGTGTCAATTTCTGGGATACGGTGAACTTGACAAATTGGGATCCATCGCTCACAGTCTGGAAGGAGGTGCTCACCGTTGCTCCGGGCAACTCGGTGTCGGTCTGTCTGATAAACTTCGGTTCAGGGACTCCGTTCATGTCTGCTCTAGAGCTGAGGCCACTGCTAGATGCGATGTACCCTTTTGTGAATACTTCCGTATCAGTCGGCTACTTTAGACGAATCAGATTTGGTGAAGCCACTGAATATATCACAAGGTGAGACAAGACTGGCACTATTATTTTTGGATTTGATCTTAATTATGCCTGGCAATGGTCTAGAAGTAAGTTGGCTAGCTGCCTAACTCGGAAAATTTGAAGTGTTTCCCCCTTAATCTCTTTCCTGAATCCTTGCAATTGCTTCTAATAAAAACTAATGTCTAGTGCGATGCAGGTATCCAGTGGACCCTTACGACCGGTTCTGGGAGGGCTGGTCTTTCTCATACAACACCTACCCCTGGATCAACCTGAACACTAGCAGTCAAGTAGAGATTCTCCCGGGCGACGACTACTTCAATGTGCCGATGGCCATCTTCCAGAAGGCCACGACCCTAGACACGAACTACTCCTTCATCGTGATTAACGCGTCACTGGGTCCCAATGTGGTTCCCGAGAGCGTCCGTCTTCTCCCGATCTTCCACTTTGCTGAAATCAATGGTAACAACATGCAGAGAAGCTTTGACATCTACAACGCCGATGATGTACTACATCGGGGCTTCTCCCCGTCGCGATTGCAGGCCAGTAGTTTGTACAACAGTGGGCAGTTCTTGTATAATGGCGACGCAGTGTACACCCTGAACAAGGCGCGCGGCTCGAGCCTCCCCCCGCTCATCAACGCGTTCGAGGTGTACTCACTCCTTCGGATGGAAAACTTCACCACTGACTCCGAGGATGGTAAGACCGATGATCGATCTGAATATTGCACACTTATTACACATATACATTTATGATACATATGTCATGTATGTGGTACATTCGCATTACCATCATGCAGTTTATTCACCTGCTTAAACTGCCTGAACAGTATCTACAGGTCCCTGCTTTTAAACAATCTAGCACAGTTATTTGCGCGGGCTATGCTTTAGTCACCTCTTGCTTATAATTTTAATAATCTAATTCCTGTAAGAAGAGTATATATATTTTAGATGCCAACGTGATTTCTTGCTTTTGTTGCAAACTGTTACATAGTTATTATTACTATGAATGACACATTTCCAAGAGAAACCAAACTAATCCTAGAGAATCCAAGAAAACCTAGACATGTACATTTAAACATGCCAAGCCCAAAAAATAGTACTTTGAGTATGGCATTAGATTTAATCGTATTATATCCTTTGATTTAAAATAAAGTTTGGTATTAAAGTTTAGATTTAAGATGTGGATATATTTAATATGGACTGCGTACAAACTGAAATGAGTGAACACACTGAAACGTGTCTACATACATCTGATTCAGAAAAAGTTAGATCATATTATAATTTGAAACGGAGGGAGTTGTTTTACAGTACCACACTTTTGTGTGTGCGTCTGTTGGGTGGGGTGGGGGCCCTTCACTGTTGTGTTGTATCTATTACTTTGTGCTGGTGGTCATTGCTTGCACTCAATTCCATCCATCTGCACTCCGTTTTCATCCCTAGATAGTATCATGCACACGTATCATATTGTCACTTCCTTTAATCATTTGTAGAATCTCAATACCAGATTGTAGGATCTACTACTTATTAACCTTTCTTGTTTGACATGTTATGATACTAGAATCTTCTCACATCCTTAATTGCAGTGCCACGTCATCTTTTTGCTTAGGTGGCAGTGTACTCTTGTAATACTTCGCAGCCTTACCTTTTACCTTCGACAAAGAAAATATTGGGTCGCTGTTGCAAATAACTAACATCCACCATGTAATGTACAAAGTATATCGTTTCATGTTCTACGATAGCTTTAACAGAGAAGGGTCTATCAACTTAATTTAGGAACAACATATAGATCCACAAAAATGTAGAGAGAGAAAAAAAACTAATCATAATTTATGTTCACTTAGTTCATGTCATAGTTTCATGTTCATCAGATGAGGATAGGTAAACTGCATCGCCTTCCAGAAAATATATGATGCATCCCTCTTTTTCTTTCTTTCCCAAAATTTGCAATTAACTGCAAGTATGGTACAAAATTATCATGTGTTGCCAATAGGAGACATTGTAGTGTACAATTGGGAAATCATAAAGGGGCAGCCCCAGTGCATGTAGCTCCCGCTTGCGCAGGGTCTGGGGAAGGGTCCGACCACTTTGGGTCTATTGTACGCAGCCTTTCCCTACATTTGGATCTTGCTGGAGCGGGCATTGAGAGATCAATTCAATGATGCACTAACTGAAAGGTGGTAAACCCGTTGTTGAAGTATTCCAAGCACTAACCCACACATGCAGCGAACAATTAAATGACAACTGTGCACCATCTGTGCATGAAAGTAATTAATCCAGTACCACTCCGAGGGACTATGGATCACCAAACAATTTTGTTGGCACATATAAACATAAAATAAGAAAGCATACATATTTGGAAACGAGACAAATTCTCAATCCTAAAAGGGGAACTGATTATGCTAAAATCTAGAAGCAAGGAGAAACTCCAATAGAAAAAAATGGTTCACTTTCAAGAAAAATCTTGAATTTACAACTTTGCATTGACCATAGCTTTTGTGATTTTTAGTTCAGTATCAAAGTTGTAGCAACACAAGAATTTGACACTATTATTATGTAGTGAATGAATAATTGAGCATACACCTCAAGCTTGTACTATTAAAAATTATTAATCATCTAATGGAGATCATTTGGAGATTTATTGCGAAGTCAATCATACTCCCTCCGTCCCATATTAATTGACACTCAAACAGATATATTTCAGTGCTAGATACATCCGTTTGAGCGTCAATTAATATGGGATGGAGGAACTACTAATTAGAAAATGAACTTGCAATCGCATCTCCGTACATTCGTATAGCCCCAAATAGATAATATAAGAATAAACGTACACATGGTATCTTTCTATCAGAAGATGCCAAGTGAACAAAAGGCTGAGTTGTCGTCCCTCAATGCTAAGTCAAAAAAGAAATGTATTGACAGCTGCGAGTCCAATAATTTACATGGAAATCACAGTATCATCTTCGTCTGCGGTACAATTTGCACATGACACCAGCAACAGTTAACTTTGAATGAAAATACATACAATTAACGCTGAGACAAGCCTCATTAAATACTAGCTGTGGCATCATATATGAGAGATTTTTCTAGTATATTACCAATTTCAATGTTATGTTATTTGAGTGGTCGTACAGCAAGCTTGAAGAAAGCGATTTTTGTTTGTTTGTTAAATTTCCTAAAAGTGGTGGTTACATACATCATATAGTGGCCAATGTGGTGATTTGTTGTAATGTACTCATTGTTATGTTTAGGGAGAATTATGCAGATCTCGGGGCCTGGTTCGTTTAGGTGCGAAGATCTAAGTTGTGATATGTTTAAGTGCAATTATGATAAACTAATGGCTGAGATCTGTTTAGGTACAATTATGGAGATCTAATGGTTGCGATATGCTTAGATACAGTTATGATAATCTAATGGCCATGATCTGTTTATTCGCAGTTATGAACATCTAATTGTCATGATCTGTATAGGTACGTTTATGGAAACCTAACGGTCTTGATTATAAAAGTGCCACCAGACAAATGGCCGAATGTTTTGCCTTTTTTGTGATAGTTTTCGTGTTCGCCTTTTTTTTTGTATTGTGCTATTTTTCTGTTGTGGTATACTTTTAGTACATAATAGAATAGATGTTAATGACCAAGTTCTCAGTGTGTAGACCCCTAAGGATTCCCAACTCCATTTGAAATAGTCAAGATCTTCTTCACTAAAGTTACAGAAACAGGTTTATCCTAACTAATTTGTGCACTCAACTTTTGAGTAAACTATATTCTACTCCCTCTGTAAACTAATATAAGATCAGTGATCTAAACGATCTTATATTAGTTTACAGAGGGAGTACCTGTCAAATGCTAATTAGCCACGAGGAAGACCATAGTAGATAAGTAAACTTATACAATTTATTCAGCCTTATAAAAAGAAATGATAATGTATCTTCTTATGCTGTTATTACATCATGCTTAATACTACAACAATCTTATGCCCAACATATATATTTGCCATCAATCCAGTCATGTTTGTTTTCATTCTCTTTTTGTTATTGCAGTCAATTACATAAAACAAGTAAAAGCACACTACAATTTGACAAGAATAGACTGGAACGGAGATCCATGCTCCCCAAGAGAGTATACCTGGGAAGGTTTGACTTGCGGCTACTCCAGTAGCAACAAGAATCCGAGGATTGTCCGAGTGTAAGAATGTAACCAGGACCAGTACTCTTCTTCCTAATAAACTATATTACTATATACTCAAGTGAGTTCTATAAAAAAACATTTGGTCCATATATTTCCTTTCATTTGCACATATACAAATTTTCTATACATAAAAAGGGGTATATTGCAAAAACAGAAAGACTAAGGGCTCCCATGATATTATTTTTATTACACTTGTATTGAAGTATTTTAGAATAATTGATGAGGTATATTGATAATGATAAAAAAAGTATAATCGATTCAGTTAAGAGGTATATCAAAATGTGGGATTACATACAATCCCTTAATTTGGTTCAAACCTGAAGCACAGAAACAATGTCTTAAAAATACATATTAGTTCGGCGCTATCAGAAATGAATGTGGGGGTACTTATTAAGATGAATATCTTGCAGAAATATGTCTAGCAGCGGACTGGGAGGTGGATTAGCCATATCACTTTTGAACATGACATCACTGGAAAATTTGTAAGTGATGCCTATGACATACTATTGATGCGCCAAATGAAATCATGTTGGCATCTTTTGTGACCCTAATAACAAATATATATATAGGGATTTATCAAATAACAATCTGGTGGGCACCATTCCAGACTGTCAAATAAAGTCACTAGCAGTTCTGCAAGTCACTGTGCTGAGCAGTATTTGATTAATGGCATAAATTTTACATGAATGATTCCAACTACTATTTTTCAGTAATTTGGCAAATAACAAGCTCGAGGGACCAATCCCCAGTTATATTCTTCGAAGATTCCAGGCCGGTCTGCTAGACTTAAGGTTTGGTGTGCTCTGTTGCACGACTGCTTACTCGATATAATCTGTTGTAACAAGCTGAACAACTGCATCAAAACGAAATTGCTCAACCCAAGGTTGGTTTTATAGATTAATGATGCATACCAATTTAAGGTTTAGCAACAGTCTTTGCACATATAACGTATTAATGCAAGTGCATTGGTTAAAAACAGTTGAGAAGCTAAATGCGTGTTTGGTTCATAACATACTTTGCCAAGCTAGCGTTAGGCAAGTTCGACTTTCTCTAGCTTAATGTCATGCCTCACTTTGTCATACACATAAACTCCAACCAATTTTGAGTTTTTGACTATGTTGTGGTGGCCGATTTGGGCACCACAAAGTGTGGCAAGCCACATTCTGGAGATCATTGTATTGACCCAATCATACCATCAGTTACATTTACTAGCATCTAATAACTACAAATATTTATCACCTATGGGCTTTCAATACGAGAGCCAGATACGAAAGTACCAGTAATAGTGATCTAGAAACCATGCAGTTTGTTCTTTTAGAGGTTAGATCTGTTTAGAAGTACTATCAGAAGGTTAGTTGTGTTAGAAAATGGAGGCACATTATAATCATAACTACATAGAGCTATTGTAGCAGACTTTGAGCTAACTTAATTATACTTTTATATGTTGTACAATTGTGTGACTAGACTAGAAGGCAATCCCATATGCTCAAAAGTAAAAGATATGTACTGTTCAAATAAGAAGAAGCACACCACACCTACCGTGCTCATCGCAGTGATAGTTCCAGTGGTATTGGTATCCCTCCTAGTAGTGATGTGCATACTCTGGAAATTATGCCATAAAGGTAAACAAACACTCCTCCCCTAAATTCCCTTTTCATCAACGCAGTGTGCAATAGACATTAGACAATAGCTTCAAACCTTTACTTTCTGACTTTGCAGGGAACTCGGGAGACTATGAGGACTATGCTACATATGAAGAGGAAACTCCCCTACACATTGATATCAGACGGTTCACATATGCAGAGCTGAAGCTCATGACTAAGGACTTCCAATCAATCATTGGAAAAGGAGGTTTCGGTATTGTTTACCATGGCATACTGGAAAATGGTGATGAAGTAGCTGTTAAGGTGCTTATGGAGACATCAATAGCAAAGTCAACAGACTTCCTCCCCGAGGTATAATACGAAAACAAGCCAAAACATTGAGTTCTTTACTAGAAAGTAAACTATAAGTTTGCAAGACATCTAAACAGTTTCCACACTCCATATTCAATAAATTGATGTAATTGGCTTCAGCTCTAGGATGCTTGTAATTATATCCGTTGCCGCAGGTGCAAACATTGTCTGAAGTCCATCACAAGAATCTCGTGACTTTGGAAGGATATTGCCAAAACAAGAAATGCCTAGCACTCGTTTATGATTTCATGCCCAGAGGAAATCTCCAACAGCTTTTAAGAGGAGGTTTTTCTCTTAACTTTTCTTAAAAGTTTCTATTCAGCATAGTTGACTACTTGATATAGGTATGACCAACCTACTTGCAGTTTTGTTATGAACTTATGATCACCAACTTGTATTACAATTTTTACAGGGACCATCTGTACTTTAATTTAGTAAAATTGAATCATTGAATCAAAAATAAAATTTGTTCAGTCTAGAAAGCAAGTTAACCAAGTCAGGTTTTTATTTCCTGCAAAACCAACTAAACAGCGATTCAGATGCCAACTGCTTTGGTTAACCTCCTACATTTATATGCTTTGACATCCTACTGAGCTAAAACTGAATCTCCTGGTTAAAGTTGTAGTTGATATCCTAGACTGTTATTGCTGCTACTTGTCAATGCAGTTGAGTTGGTGCTGGCGGGCCTAATTATTGTGTTATAGACACTGTACTAAAAAGTGAGACGACCATAGCTGCATTTTTAGAGCTGCAGGTTCTAGTCACATAGACTGATAACAAATTGGGGCGACCACAGTTACACTCTCAGAGACATAACCATGACACGATAATCACAAATTATAGACGTGTAGATCTTTCAAAAACCAGTAAGAAGCATAGCAAGAGGCACGTCTTAAATTAATACTTCAATAGCTTAGTTCTCTTGCTAATTAAATCTGTATATAAAGAAATGCCCTGGTAATGAGAAGGAAAGGCAGTGACCTTTCAAAGATCAAAGGGCCTACGTATGCAGAGTTTTTTTATTCTTAATGCACCGATTGATGGTATGGTTATTGGTGAATAGTTGCATGTGTAACATATCAGCTGTTAGCTTAAATATGTTCAAGCATTACAAAAAACTGATATTTATTCTACCATGCATGTGTCAAACGGTACTTGCATTAATTTGATATGTTTTGATGCAGGAGATGACCATAGTTTGAATTGGGAACAGCGAGTTCATATTGCACTTGATGCTGCACAAGGTCCACGTTCGAATATGTGCTTATTACATTTATTTCGTGTATATCTGTGTGTGTTGAGAAAGTATGCGTTTCAATAAACTACAGGACTGGAGTATTTACATGAGTCATGCACCCCAGCAATAGTTCACAGAGATGTGAAAACCCCCAACATCCTTCTGGACAAGAACCTGGTGGGGATAATATCTGATTTCGGGCTTTCACGGGCCTTTAATGAAGCTCATACACACATATCTACTGTTGCTGCTGGCACTCTTGGCTACCTTGACCCCGAGTACCATGCAACTGATGAGGACATGACTACCTTGGATATGACCAAAAATATTGCATATATGCATATTTGTCAGGTGATTTCTAGTGCAAACTATTCAATAATCTATTTATGTTATCCAGAACAAAAATACTTCACACACTTTTGTGTTTTGTCTAATTGCAGGTGTATGGGACATTTGTACAATCCACATATGAAGATAAGGAAGAAAGAGATGTTTATTTGCTGTCCAAAAAGTTCTCTCACGTCACTTTTGGCCCAAGAGAAGATAGAGTCCAAGTCTCTCACGTTCTGGATTCAGATTCGGACTGCACAGACACACCTGACTCAAAACGCACACAAGTTTTTCATACGGACTCCGAATTGGGTGATTCTTTTTTTGTTGGAAACTAGATTTTGTGCACTTTCCAACCCAATTGGAATCACCTTCAAATTCGTCCGGAGCGTTGAGTTGTGGACGAAACAATCTGATACTGCAGCAGAATCCGAGTCAAACTACAAGTCCAAAGGTGTTACATCACCTCCACTTGGGCCCATTGGCCTTGTACGACCTAGATTTAGTTTTAGGCTGCCTTGGGACGTCCTCCCACCTCCTTGGCCGCCACCCCTTGCTCCTATATAAGTAGATCCATCTAGTAGCTTCTCCTGGGGATTTGTTTAGTTAAAAGTTAGCCATTGCAACTTCGTGTACTTCGTTTGTGTCCAACGACCAGACCAAGACCGCTTCCGGATCCCCACCATTATCAATACTTCATATATATTTGCAATATTCAGATTGCTTTATCATATTCTTGCTCGTTCTTCGATTGCTTGCAGGAATAGACCTTCGTGGTCAGGCTGACCGTGCTTCCAGCATCGTCAGTAACCTCAGGAGATTGGTTTAGCGATTGCTAAGGCGCAACGTCGTGCACGTTTGTAGTCGGATCGTCAAAGTCGTCTCCACCAAATCGATAGTTATCATCTCATCGAAAGATCGGGACCCTCGCCTCTATCAGCAACTTTCCAACTCACTGTCAAGGCAGATGTTTACAGCTTTGGGATCGTACTCTTGGAGATCATCACTGGCCAGCCCCCGGTACTGGTCGACCCTCAAACCATCCATCTAATAAACTGGACGCGCCAAAAGATTGCTACAGGCAGTATTCACGATGTTGTGGACAAGAGGTTGATGGATCAGTACGATGCCAGTTCCCTGCAGAGTGTGGTAGACCTTGCCATGAACTGCATCGAAAACGCAGCCATCAACAGGCCGACCATGACTGAGGTTGTTTCAAGGCTCAAAATGTGCTTGCCTGCGGTTCCAAGGTTGTTCCAGTTAACGATTTCTGGAGTTCCAACGATAAGCAACGAGGGGAACTTCCAGTCTGATCATGCTGGCAGGATGTCAGAGACAAGCCTCTTATCTGGACGGTGAAAGGGAAACGTCTATCGTGTTATTGTTGCATTTGCATCTGTGTAGATAATGTTTGGTAATTTGCTTAACTGGCATCGTCATTGATCGTCCATAGACTGGAATTCAGTAATTATCATATTCGGTTTCAAATACTGCTCGTTTAGAGCATCTCCAGTCGTTGGCCCCCCAGGGGGCGCGTAAAATCGCCGCCTGGGGGCGAGCCGGCGCAAAAGATCGGCCTGGGGGCGAGTGGGTTCCCAGTCGCCGTCTAAGTTAAAAAAAAACATTCGGCAAAGTTCGGCTAAAATTCGGCAAACTTGGCATATATTACATGTTCGACAATTTACATAGCAAATTTATCTAAAAGAAAGGCCGAAACTAAGGGGCGAAGAAGTTGCTGAACGCGGCGTAGTCGCCGCCATCCTCGCCGTCGTCGGCGGCGGCGGCCTTCTCCTCCTTGACGCGGCCGCCCCTGCTGGACTCCTGCCCGGCGTCGCCATGGCGGACCGATGGCGGTGGCGGCGTGTCGTCATCGTCGCTGTCCTCGAGGACGACGACGCCTCCTTCGTCGCGGCCCGGCGGCACTGTTCGTAGCGCTGCAGGGCGGCGCGCTGGCGCTCCATCTCCATCTTGAGATAGTCGTCGCGCGCCCATTTCAGGGCCCCCTCCTCGTCGAGCTCCACGTCGCCATGCTCCGTCTTCACGGCGGGGAGCCCCGGCTCCGTCTTTGGTTTGATGAAGCGCGGAGGAGCCGACGAGGAGGCGTGCCGGCCGCCCTCGTTTATGACGATGCCGGCGCTGCGAGTGCGCCGGCCGAGCAGCGTCTCCGCTGCGGGCTCGGACTTGACGCCGAGCAACGCCGGCGAGCCGGAGGAGTGGGAAGAAGAACGGGAGGAGGAGTGCGAGGAGGAAGTCGAGGAGGAACCAAACCTCCTGGGCATCCATTGCCCGCCGCGCCGGTTCGTCGTGGCAGGGTATGCCAACGACGGTTCGTTGCCGCCCTCGAGGTACGACAGCACGCCGTCGAGCGTGCGGCCGGGGGCGCCCCACCACACGCGGCGCCCCTCGTTGTTCTTGACGCCGCCCACCACCGGCGCCCCGTTGGTGGACACCAGCCTCTGCTCCTGGCGGCGCTGGAAGTACGCCGCCCATGCCGCGTGGTTGTCGGCGGTGTACTAGGGGAGGGCGAGCTGCTCCTCTGTGAGGGAGTCTCGCACGCGGTCGATCTCGGCGGTGAAGTAGGCGGGGCGCGCCTCGACATCGGGCACCGGGGGAATGGGCACTCCCGCGTTGCTGAGTCTCCACCCCGTCGGCCCGGCGCGCATGTCCGGTGGCGCCGGGATGTTCGCCTCGAACAGGAGCCACGCCTCCCACTCGTGAAGCGAGCGGCGGCCGAAGCCGTTGGCCGCCGCCGCGTCGCCGGGGAAACACGCGGCCATCGGGCTTGGGAGTGAGGGAGAGGGTGGGAAGAAGTGTCGGCGGCTGCGCACGGGAGAGGGAGAGCTCGGCGGCGGTCGATGGACTAGGGCTGGTGTGGCCAAAGGCGAGGGAGGCCACCGGTTTATATAGCCGCGCCCGTGTGTACGCATGGTGGGAGGGGAGGCGTCGCCGCGCCGCCCCGTGACGCGTCGCCCGTGATGAGGAATCAATGGCAAGGCTGACCGGCGGCGGCAGTGCGTCAGCCTTGGCATTGATTCCCGCAGGAACCGAGGCAATGAGGGCGACGAAGCGGCCGTCTCACTGACTCGGCGGGCCCGCGGCTCTTTCGCGCCAAGACCACTCGCCCCGGCACCCCTAGGCGCCCCCAGCGCGCCAGGTTCGACCTGGGTCCGACGGCGCTGATTTCGGCCCAAACCGGCGAAAAACGTGTTCCTGGGGGCGCGACTGGACCGTTTTTTCAGCGCCGGCGCAAAATAATCACCGTGTTGGAGGCGCGACTGGAGATGCTCTTACTACCTGCACGAGTTTTTTCAAGCATGACGCGTGACGCGTCCCCTTCCATTTGAGAACTCGGTGGTTCATTATTGGTGCTCGTACATTAAGTCCACACAAACCCTAAGACAAGTTGCTTACACATTACTACCGCCTAAGAATTCCGCCTTTTATTCCCCAATCTCTATTGCAAGGCTGTGGATTCAAATTGCAGTACTTGTTTCTTCTACCAAATCTAAGCATGTCCATGGTACGCGAGTTGGCACCTACGCTATGAAAAAGGCAGAAA